GTTTTAAAAAAAAAAAAAAAAAAAATCAAGTCCCAAATTGCCTAGTAACACCATTAGAGAGAATTTGCTATATATATTTACATAATAAATTCCTTTGTTTTAGAAATATTTTCTAGCTTTAAAATATGTATGCTTTTTAATAAATAGGCTGAAAAAACAAGGCTTTACGTAGTAAGGAAAAAAATAATGGAACTAAAATGACCAACAACAGATGAATATAAGTGCATTCTAGAACTGTGCAGTAGTGCTAGCCACCTGTCGCTACTGAGCACTTGAAATGTGCTAGAGAAAATGAAGAACTAAATTTTTTTTTATTTTACTTAACTTAAATCTAAATTTTAAAGCTGCGGCAGTATAGAAATATTTTTTCTGTTAAACACCAGTATATTTCACTTTAATCACTATAAAATATTATTGTCATCATAGGCATGTATTACATGCTCAAATTGTTTCTAGTCTCTCATTAACTTTTACACTGACTACACACTGAAATATTTTAGACACAGTAGATTAAGTCAATTTTACCTAGTTCTTTTTACCTTTTTAATGTGGCCACTAAAACATCTGAAATGACATATATAGCTCACATTGCATTTCCACTGGAAAGCACTATTCTAGAACGTTAACTAATGGAATACCAATACCTATTTAAAATAGTAATATTGGACTACATTAATACATAGAAATTTTTACGTGATGTTCTAAATTTTAAAGAATATAAGCTAGAATATATACATATACTCATTACAACTTTTTAAAAATATACAAATATATACAATGATGATTTTTAAAAAAACTATAGAATATAGATTGTTTTAAAAGATCAATGTTTGGCCCGGCCGGGCGTGGCTCAGCGGTTGAGCATCAACCTAGGATCCAGGAGATCGGGATTTGATTCCTGGTCACGGCACATGCATGGGTTGCGAGCTAGGCAGCCAATCAGTGACTCTCTCATCATTGATGTTTCTATCTCTCTCTCTCCCCCTCCTTTCCTCTCTCTGAAATCAATAAAGATATGTTTAAAAAAAGAAAAAAAGATCAATGTTTGAATGGTTGAATAAAATTCCTTAAGTGTGCCCTGGCTCGTGTGGCTCAGTTGGTAGGAGCATCATTCCATGCATCCAAGGGTCACAGGTTCGATTCCAGGTCAGGACACATACTCAGGTTTCAGGCGCGATCCCTGGTTGGGGCACATAGAGGAGGCAACTGATCGATGTTTCTCTCTCTCTCTTCCTTCCTCTCTAAAATCAATTAAAAAAAAAAGTATCCTTGGGTGAAGATTAAAATTCCTTAAGTATATAAGTTAAAGCAATAAATTACATCAAAGGAGAAAGAAGTGTGCTATATGTAAATAAAAGATCAAAACTATTTTCAACCCAACAGAATTTTTTCATGGAAATCATTTGGCAAAATATTTATTTTATCACAAATACTGCACAAATAACTCATTTCCTCAAGCAGTAAACACCTGTGTACTAATAATGATGAAAAAAGAAATTTAAAATGCTAACCTATCCAGTGAACCAGAGAGTAATCTCTGTCCAGAGCTGCTCAGGCATAAACACGTCACAGTTTTATGGTGATTTTTCAAAGACACTAGCAACTGTCCTCCTTTTAGCATGTCCCAGACTTTAACATAACGACCTCCTATAAAAAGAAATAATCATTAGTTTGATATTCCACCTATAGATAAAAAATTTTAAAGACTTGAAAAGCATTCTTCACTGGACACTCTACATCACAGAGGCTAAGTGAGAGATTTGAGAGTCGGGCTGCCTGGTTTCAAAGCTGACTATCATTTACTGGGTATGTAACTGATAACAACAACAGCTCCTACCTCACAGAGCGGTTATGACAATTAAATAATTTCATATTTGTAAAGTACACAGAAAACAACCTGGTAAAATAAAAAGTAAAACCAAAATATTTTATTTTAAGAAAATTATAATAAAATCATGCTTTAAAAGAAATGTTATAAAACCATGGAAATAATGTAGATTTTATTTCCCCAAAATTTTGTGAACCCCAATAAAACTGAAAAACTTCCCTATAACTTTCTTTTACTCTAAGAGTTGGAAGGATCCTAAAAGGGAATTTAATCCAATGGTTTAAAAAGAATTTTTTTAATACAGGACCTTTTCTTTCAATGAGATATTAAGCAAAAGTCTAACAGGTGGAACAGGAAAAGGGGGAGATATCTTACCTATCCTGCGTGGGCCAGAGGGCCTGGAACCCAACTCACAGTCCCTGTCTCCTCACATGTGGCAGCTCATGAGAGATTACAGTTTGAAACCACTGACCTACCCAGCCTCTCATTTTCAAGACCTACAGACGTTAGGGACTGCTCGAGGTCACATAACCAGTGACACAGTGGAGGTCGGCACACAGGTGGGTACCTATTGTCCCATTCATCTTGAACTTTTTGCTTTTCAAAGCAGCAGCGAGACAGGTAGATCCGTCTGACAATGTTATCAACTTATTTTGAAATCAAATAGGTACTGGGGAATCAGACTTTAAAAAAAAAAAGGCCACACACAGCCATGTATACACTCTAAAGTACACATACTACCTGTGCATTCTTCTAAGGTCAACACATTAACTTTGACTTGATAAATGAAAACAGGCAATTCACTTCTTCCATCATAATTCTGAAAATGCACTATATCAACATAAAAACACCTCAGCTCCACTAGACGAAAAGCGTATCAAGGCCTCTTTGGCCGCCTCCAGCACTAGCGGCTATTTGCTGGGTAAGGCCATTGCAAGAGTCACGTGAGAAGAGACAAGCCTGATTCTAGAGCTAAAGAAATTGATTTCAAAAGCTACTGCAGATTTCTTAGATAATAACAGCAACAGGCGTACAACCTGGATTTCTGGGTTAAGGACATAAGCAGGCTCTCAAGTTCTGGGACTTCAGATCTACTTACCACTTTGCCTTGGACAAATTATTTAAAACTTTTATCAATTTCCTTAGTTGCAAAACAGGGAGAAAACTACCTACCTTGTAGGCTCATTTAGGGCATCAGAGATAATACACGTGTGTGATAACACAGTGTCTGGTTCACGTTAGGTACTCAATAAATGATAGCAGCTTGCCTGACCTGCTTATCAATTGTTTGAGCAAACACCTAGATAGGCAATTTAAGTGCACACTGATAAATTATAAAAAGTACCTGATAAAGAAATTATCTGATTCAAGACCAACAATTATGGTGAAAGCAATTTTTGAAAGAAATACCTGCTGATACCAGAAGACCTCCAGAGGGAAAAAGCAGGACACTCTCCACTGGCTGCCCGTGCTCAACAGAGATAACACTCTTGTTTGTTCGCGTATCAAACATCTTCACAGTATGATCATATGACCCTAAAATGTCAATTTTTATATTATGTGAGTTTCACTACTCAAAACAACAAAAACTATATATCTGTGTATGTGCTTGTATGTGTATTCTAACATAAATTTTAAAAGGAGAAAAGCTTAGATGACAGTTTTAAAAGACACATATGTAAATTCATAAAGATACAGTACCTCCAAACTCTTTGGTACCACTGACTATTTGTGAGGAAGCACAATATTATATTACACAGAATCTTAAGCTAGTCCTGTCTTCATCTCTGTCACTACTGAGTCATCTGGGAATCTCTGCAAGGCACCCACAAACACTGACTGCAGTGTGTTTGTTTCTTGACTGCTGGAGGCTCTTAAATCAGAGTGCTAAACCCAAGGCCGCCTGATGTTTACAAATACATTTGGAGGACAGTAAGAACAATGCCAAAAGAAAAAGAAAATAAAACAACTGGATAAACAAAAACATATTTCTTTATAAAAAATTTTTAAACTCATCTATCCCAAAAGAGTTCCAAAGCATATTAAAGTCTAGCACAATAAAGTTATCAACTTCAGGAGGAAAAAAAAACTTTACCAACCTGTTACAAAGAGATCTGGGTTCAGCTTGCTAGCACATCCACACCTCACATAATCAGAATGTTCTTTGAATGTCAGAATTTCTTTGGAGTTTGGAATATCCCATAATTTAACTGTATAATCATCAGCTCCAGAAACCACATGATATTTGTCAGCTGTAAAATCTACTGTATGAACTGCTCTGAAAGACCAAGGATCAGTGTATTAGAAAGTAAGAAAAAATTGTATTTCTGGCACCTTCTAACATAAAACACTCTTCTCCAAAATCAGTTCAGTTTCAGGGAGTAATTGCAGGGTGAAATCATGAGAGAAAAAGAAAATCTTTAAAACCAGGTTTTGTCTTCAAGCTAATTTAAAATTTTAAATACCCAAGCATTATAAAGTTAATAAGAACATTAAATAATAGCCTTAAAATTATATTTTCTAATATGTTAACAATTCTACTTAGCTGCTCAATGAAAGTAAATATTCTAAATTTTGGTTGAAAGTTACTTTAATTTAAAAAACTTCAAAATGGGTAGTTCTTTAAAAAATTCTAAGATTTGCCACTAAGTAGGATAATGTTAAGTGAATTTGTTTTATTTTACATGTTCCACTGATGAAGTAAGACCATCCTGATAATATAAAAAAAAACACTCTTGCCCTCGCCATTTTTGCTCAGTAGTTAGAGCGTCGGCCTGCAGACTGAAGGGTCCCAGGTTCGATTCCAGCCAAGGTCACAAACCTCAGTTGCAGGCATGATCCCCCACCCATGTCAGGGCTTACGCAAGAGGCAACCAATCGATCTGTCTCTCTCACATCAATGTTTCTCTCTGTCTCTCTCCCTCTCTGAAAAGCAATAGAAAAAATATCCTCAGGTGAGAATTTAAAAATTTTTTTAAATTAAAAATTAAAAAAAAACAACTCTTGAGAATTTAAATCAATAGCATATTACAGCAAAACATTGGTAACCCTGAAATAAAGTTATAATATAAAATTGCCCTGACAGTTCAATTTATCAAGGGCAAAATACTAAATCCAAGAAAAAAGAAAATCTACCTTCCAACTTCACTTCAAAATGAGAACTTCTAATACAGTCCAGGCTTATAAAGTCATTAACAGTTGTAAGGCTACCTTTAGATCAGTGGTTTATAATCTCAGTTGAGTCACAGAGCTCACTGAGGTGTCTCCCTAGATAAACATCCATTTCCTAAAATGTCACATACAATTCTAGGGAATTCATGAGCTCCATCAAACTGGACCTTAGGACTGAACCAGGATACATATTCTGAATTAGAACCACCAGGAAGTAAAGTACATAACGGTACATAATCTATGTTTTATTCAAAGCCCAGAAAACAAATAGAGGCTTTTTAAAATGGTCTCTTACTTAGTATGTCCTTCAAACTGCCTGAGGGGAGCCCTCCCAGTTATATCAAAAAGCTGAACTCCACCATCTTCACTGCCAGCCACAAGCAATCTACCATCCTGTCGAAAAGTAGCACAATACGCTGTGTCTTTAAATCGGGAAAAGGTTTTTATAGGTTCTTGGGAGTATCGGCCATAAATGTGAATCTACAAGGTAAAAAACATAGTTATTTCACCAGATGGCTCAACATCAGCAGTAAATATAAGTTATATAAAACAAAAATAAATTTAATATCATATTTACCCTTGAAGAAGCTGTGACAGCATAATTATATGGAGGTTGTGGAGAAAAGTCTACTTTTGACACGGCACCAAACTCCTTGATCTGAACAGGGGTCTTGATGAAAAATAATACAGAATATTAACAACTGCAGTATTAACAGTGTTACAAGTGGTAATACCTATTTAAGCACTATATAATACCTTATTGACCTTTTTTTTTTGTTCTTAGTAACATTTACAAAGCAAAAGGTCCAAATCCCATCACCCTATCCTATCCCTGTTGCCATTCAAGTAAATAAGTATATGGTTGGAAAGTCGTACCCCACTCATTCTCTTCAGCTGTGGAATTTTCTGTGGTTATTACTGGGGG